CATCCTGCACCGCTGCCTAGTGAGTGGCTCATTCAGGGCCAAGGAGATATGTAAACTTTAACAATGTGCAGAGCAGGCACAGAGTGACCTTGGTATTCAGTCATTCGGATTGACTGAAGGCCGAGGTCATTCTGCACCTAGTGATTGACTCATTCAGGGCCAGGGGATGTAAACATAAACAATATGCAGGCGGCAGCACAGGTGCGTAATGACCTCGGCATTCAGTTATTCGTAATGACTGAAGGACGGGTTCATACTGCACCACCGCCTAGTGAGTGACTCATTCAGGGCCGGGGGGTAATTGTAAACCCAAACATGTGTAGGCCGAGCACAGGCACAGAGTGACTTTGCAAATTAAGTTATTCAAAATGACTGAAGGCTGGGGCCATCCTGCCCCACTGCCTAGTGAGCGACTCATTCAGGGCCGTGGGGGGTAAATGTAAACCTAAACAACGTGTAGGCAGCAGCACAGGTGCAGAATGACCTCGGCCGTCAGTAAATCTGAATGAATAACTTTTTCCATAGTGCGCATACTCTAGTCTATATGGTCACGCGTGTACATGTCCATGTGAGCTGAAGTGTACTACGGACCACTTTTTTTGTAGGAACTTATATTGAATTTATACGCCTGTGTGATCCCTTATATTAGGTGACAAGACTGTAACGAAAATGGTAACTGTCTGAAGTCTGGCAAGCTTACAGTCCATGCTGTGTGTTTTTTTTTTTTATTAGTTTGTCTATTTAACAATGTAAATCTATAATCTATTTTGTGTTCGGGAGTGGTGGTAGCACTAGAGATATAGAAGTTTCCCCGCCTCTTCCAACACGGCGCCATCAGAAGCGATCAGTGACTCTGGTAAATTGAGCAGACGTGGGAAAATGGCTTGTAGCAACATCTTGTAGAGAAGTGTCATGAAATCAGAACATTAACTGAAAGGTTGAGAAAGAAGGGGGAAAAGTTCACGGAATTGGCTGGCATTCAAGAGAGCGATGGGGCCGGGGCTGCGCCTGTGTTTTCTCCTGTGTGAGCTTGTTTCTGTTACATGTAACTGTACACTACGGCTTCACATCCGGAAACCAAATAACCTCAGCGGGCACTTTATCAAATCTTCTTCCTGCAGCCAAACAATTCCCCGTATCGGCGGGACCCCCGTTCATGCCGGTGAATTGAACTGCCGCCATTTTCAGTGTGATATTAAGTTGTGCTCGGACGGGGCGTCATTTGTGTGATCATTGTTGGTGAAGTTCACACGATCGCTGTTCTTCTTCCCTTTTTTGTTTGCTTTTTTTTTTACATTTTGGATTCCAAGTTTATATTTCCTTTTAGGAATGTATCAAAAGCATTATTGTAGCCGCTTTTTTTTTTTTTTCCCCAGAAGAGATAAAACTGTTGAGAAAATCTGTAAAATTTGGCTTGCTATTTTTTTTTTTACAGTGGTGAAAGGGTTAGAACCTCTGCAGTTTTTATTGTGGTCTGTCTTTTTGTTAAAGTAAGTCGTGTCTGGGAAAGTGAGGGGAAGTCGCTTATATAATCTAGTTGGGGAGAAATAACCTGGCTTCCTGTCCCATCAACCACACAGGAAGTGACGGGGAATCTCCCATGTCGAGACACTGACAGTAATTAAAGCCTAACTCCAGGCAAGCTAAAAAAAAAGTACTCTTGCAGTGGGGCTGCTCCTCACTGCAAGGGTTAAGTGTTCATTTTGATCTAGGGCAATTAATTTTTTTATCAGGGGGCCGCATAGGAAACTGGGATGGCTGTGGAGGGCCTAACCGATGTGCGGTACCGTGAGTCACAGGTGCGCTGTCGCCATTTGAATGGCACCCTAAACGCACATCCTGGCTGCAATGCGATTGACTGTGGCACAACACGCGGTACCGTAATAATAATACTGTGTGTTGCGGTTGAAAAAAGAAGTGCTTGCAATGCAACTGCCGCACTGTAATGCACGATGTGTTGCATGGTACTGTGTGTTATTTGCTGCTTGGCAGGAAATGACGCATGTCAAACATCTAAAACCCTGGTGTCATTGGATGCTAGGACTGCCCAGTGGTCCTAGCAACCATTGACTGCAGAACAGGATCCCTGACATTGGTTGCTAGGATGCCAGCGTTCCTAGCAACCAAGGACCGAAGAGAGACATGGTCCAAATATGGACCGATCAGCAACCTGGACTGGGCTATGGCTTGCAGTGGATGCATCGACCTTGGGGGGCCAGTGCATCCACTGTCAGCCAGCCATAAGGGAGCACAGGTTGGCGTGCTGGACAGCCACAGACCAAGACCCGGATAGAGCCCGGGAGCCGTACAATTCCCGGGTCTGGTCTAGGGGCTGGAGTAAAGCAGATTAACTTGCCTGATCCTAGGTCCCTCAGGGGTGTTAGCCCGGTCCCTCCAGCCTTTTCTGGTCTGGGCTTCGGTGGTCTGAGAACTGCGGATGTCATCACGTCTAATGCAGGTTACATAGACCTGCATTAGACATGAGCATGCCAAGGGACTTTCTACCAGCCGGAGCAAGAAGAGGAGAGTGTTGACCGTCAGGGGAACAGGGATCAGGTAAGTAAATCAGCGGGGTTAGGGTACTTTTTTTGTTTACGCGGAAATGATGTGGCATAGCTGAGATTCTGTTGTCTGAGACTTCTGCAGTCCCAACCCTTTCTGCAACTGGCTTCAGAGGGAAAGGTAACTATAAGCCATTGCCATATTCAGACATCGAATTCCATTTGGAGGTTTGCCAAAAGGCATGTAGGAGATTAAAGTGACACTAAACTCCGGAGTTCAATCTTAAAAATACATTCAAATACCTGAACTATAACACGCGTTTTTTCTGCGAATCGCTATAAAAACGCACGGCACGAAACGCGCATATTCGATACGCCTAGGTGTGAACCCAGCCGAAGACTCAAAGTGACAACTCGAGAGTTAAATCCCAAAAATACATTCATGTACCTTTTTTTAACTATTAACAAAAATGTATCTTATTTGTGTATCACTCGGCTGTAGATCCTCAAATCATCTCTGAATTGGTGCTGACACTGTCCTTCCTTCTGGAGGGCGGCTACTTGTGTTCCCCATGGTCCCTGTGTGTGTTGTACAGTAGTCACCGCTCCAAGCTCACTTCTGTGATGGACTACAATCTCAATACAAATTAGTAAACTAAACTTAAGATTGTAGTCCATGCCAGGAGTGTGCTTGGAGCGGTGACTACTCACAGGGATCATGGGGAACAAAAGCATTTCTTATTATTATTATACAGGATTTATATAGACCCAACCGTTTTTGCAGGGCTTTTGCAGGGCTTGTGAGAGCTTACAATCTAGTAGGAGGGGCAAGTCATACAAAAGGTAATCGTTGTTTAGATTGAGGTATTGGAGGAAGTAAAAGGGCAGTTATGTTGCGATGGGATGGGCGTCCCTGAAGAGATGAGTTTTTAAGGACTGCCTAAAGGTGGGCAGCAAAGGAGATAGGCCGGCAGATTGGGGTAATAAGAGACACTCTCGTGAAGTCCTAGGGGCGAGCATGGATAGAGGTCTTGAGAGGAGCGGAGAGGATGGTTTGGGTGATATTTTGAGATGAGTTGAGTGATAGTAGCCCCCCCTCCAGAAGGAAGGACAGTGTTGGCACCAATCAGTGGCGTCACAAGGGGGGTGCGGGGAGTGTGGCCCGCACCCGGGTGACTCAGTCATTTTGGTGTCACCCCCCCTCTAAAAAGTCGGGCGACCGAACGCCCGACAGTATCAGGAGAGAGGAGGGGACCCGGCGGCATACCTTATCCCGCCGGGTGACTGTCCCCTCCTCTCTCTGCCGGCGTCCATCACCAAGATATGACGGTATCAGAATACTGCCGTGCGTGCGCAATGACATCATCGCGCACGCGCGTGGTGACGTCACGCGCAGTGATGTCTTGGCGGGGTGACACTCGGTTACCGCTCTGGGTGTCACCCAGCCTCGGGACGCCCCTGGCACAAATTCAGAGATTTGAGGATCTACAGCCGAGTGATACACAAATAAGATAAGACATTAATAGTTCAGGTACTTGATTATATTTGTAATGTTTTATTCCTGAGTTCAGGGTCAGAAGGCCAATAATGCTGATTTCCTTGAGAACACCATCCAGACCGTGAAGCATGGTGGTGGTAGCATGTAGGGATGCTCTTAATCAACAGAAATTGGAAGTTTGGTTAGGGTTGGGGAAAATGATGAATGCAACCAAAGTCAGGAAAACTTATTGGACTGACACTGACTCTGGACTGAAGTTACACGTTTCCTCACCACTGCGGACGTCTGCAAAAATGTGAATTTCCAGCGATAACTGTCAAAGGCGGAATTTGCCATGGATGGGAAGATTTGACTTAGTAATGCGTCTCTAGGACAGGATGTAATTGGAAATCTCCCCGGTGAGGACACAGACAGCGATAAATACCTAACAGAGGTTCTAATGCTTCCATTATTATTATTATTATACAGGATTTATATAGCGCCAACAGTTTGCGCAGCACTTTACAATATAAGGAGACATTACAATTCTCTAGAAGAAACAATTTGCCTGGAGTTCCACTTTTTAAGTCTGTTGTGTAAACCAAGTGCTAAAAATCCCAATGAAATCTACTTTAATTTCAAGTTATAACACTACTGTATGTGCAGAGTCATATGGGGTGAATACTTATGCAGTGCTCTGTACAACTGTATGTGCGAAATACAGTGATCAAAATATTAAAACGCATGTGTGTAAAAAAAAAAAAAAAAAAAAAAAAAAAAAAAAATTCATTTTCGTTTAAAAAAAAAGACAAATCTACTTTCAGTTTGATGGCACCATTGTTTTTGCTGTACTCGTGCTGTACTGTCACTTTAATTTGTGACATAGCGGAGTAAGTATTTTTCTGCTTGCTATGTTTTCCATGGCTGTGATAACGCACTGATCCCTGTGACTCTCCTGAGGTTTTATTTGACGATCTGCTTCCTAATGTTGGTATTGATCTTCATAATTTTTCATTCTCTAGGCATTCGACCTCCCATCATGAATGGGCCCATGCATCCGCGGCCCCTGGTGGCCCTGCTGGACGGCCGGGATTGTACGGTAGAGATGCCCATTCTGAAGGATGTGGCCACAGTGGCGTTCTGTGATGCGCAGTCCACTCAAGAAATCCACGAGAAGGTAAATCAGACTCTGCTTTCGGTTTGATCTTGTGAAGGCATTCAGAGAGGGTAACTTGTCAGCAGAGGAATATAAGGAGAGCTGCCATTGCTGACGTGTAGTTCAAGGTGCATGTTCCAGGGTTGTCATTCTTCCTTTGCCTAAAAGAGATGGGGTCAGTGTTTTTCCCCATAGTTCTCTTAAGGGTCAATGGAGGACATATACTAAACTCCTCCCGTGACCCAAAGCTCAGTATATAGCAGGCTACAGCTCGCCGTATACTGAGACTGTCGCAGCCGGGACGGTACCGACAATGCTGTCGAGATCCACCCAGCTGCGTGAGTGACAGCTGGCTCTGCCTATCTAGAGGCCGAGCCAGCTGTACCCCCCGCCCCCTCCCCTGTCTGTTCCTTCTGTCAGCGCTATAGGATGGGAGCGGTGAGCGGGGGAATCCCTGCAGGGAGTGATGACTGACAGTCACCGCTCTCTGCAGGGATATGGTCGAGAAGTGAGCGAGTGACGGTATGTGTTTGCTCACTTCCCTATCGATAGAGCCAACCTGTGACAGTTTCAGGATGATTTTCACTCACCTCACAGTTCTCCTTTTAAGCACTGACCTGGGGTATGCATGCAGGAACATAATGGATGCCAGGAGAATGCTTGCTCCAGTCAAAGGCTTAGTACATGGTGAAGCGAGGATAGCCTTCAGCCGTGGAATATGCACCTTCAAAAACAAGGAAGCATTGGCATCTCCCATAGTTCTGCCCGGATGTCATTTGGAAATGATCAGATACTTTGTCATAGGTTTTAAGATTTAAACATGTTCTCTCACCGCCATTTGTGTCTTTCCTGCGTATTATTTCTTTAATCTAGGGAATTGAGGGCCTACCCTCGCACTGCAAGGGGTAAGTTATCGTTTTGGGTTAGGGTCTAAAAAAAAAAGAGAAAACAAAGATATACTCACCCGATCTTCGGTCCCCATGCAGCCACCACTCACCTCCCTCCTCCTCCACTCTAGCTGAGGAATGTCCCCCAGGGTCCTCACATCCAATGTAAGTGAATGTACGTGATGACGTCGCTTAAAATGTTGGAGCCCAGGGGAGAAGAGGCTGTGGGAACCGGTCTAGCAGCCAGGCAGGATTGAGAATCGGGTGAGTATATCTAGACCAAATCAAACACTTAACCCTTGCAGTGCAGTAAGCCCCACCGCAAGGGTTATTTTTGTACATGTCCAGAGATCTTCTTAAGGCAACTGATCACGTGCGTTTTTTTGCACTTGCAGCTGACATACAGGGCCCCATTTATAACAGAGAGCTGATATTGCTATCCACGCTCTGCTATATTATGTAGAGATGCTCCATACCACTGCCGGCATTTTACAGCCCATTCACAAAATGCCGGCCATGGTAGTGCCGCTGACATATGTGGCCACTGTCACCCTGTCATTTACTTCAGATGCGGCTGCTGTACCCATTGAACGGGGGACACCTGGGATTCCTGCCATGAGGGCCAGTTTACACCACAAGCAGTGCGTTCCATTGTATCACAACCCGGCCGGCTCCCTGCATTCAGGGCCGGGAGGGGGCGTGGCGGTGCGTTGAAGTCAAGGGCACCGCAGCCATGCCCCCCACCCACAGTGCGATCACCCGAATGCGTGGCACATTAGTGCCTGCGTTCTGGTCCAGTGCAATCTACAAAAATAGTGCTTGCAGCATTTTTGCAGATCGCGCTGAACCAGAACACAGGCAGTAGTGTGCCACACATTCGGGTGCGAGCAATCACACTGCGGGCAGGTGGGCCTGGCTGTGGTGCCATTGACTTCAATGCACCGCCACGCCCCCTCCTGCCCCTGAACGCAGGGAGCCGGCTGGGTTGCAATAAAGTGCGTTCCAGAGGCTGACCGCTCTGGAACGCACTGCTTGTGGTGTGAACCGGCCCTGAATGGAGCCTAAAAGTTACCAACTTAATCAAATGTTGTGTTTCCCAGACCACTTTTTCTGCATTTAGATGTTCCTGATTAAAGCTACATTTACAGTCATTCCGTTGTGTTTAGAAATTCTAATTGGGTCCAGAATACATAGAAATGTACGCAAAGTCTGAATGATATCCTTGGAAATCAGTTACATGTAGAAATATGCTCTACATTGCACACACATAAACGCAGGTTTGGCACTTCCAGTGGGAAAGCTAGGCCTGAAGCTAAGAAATGGAAAGGAATAAGAGGAATGTCTCCATGACAACGTTGGGAAGGGGAGCCAGTGTATGAATGGGTTAAAGAAAGGAAGAAGTAAGGAGGGGAGTGGCACTTAATGGATTGTGCATAAGTGGCCAGCCAGGAGGGGATTCGAAGGGTGGGCTGCGCGGAGGAGTCTCAAGCCTGTGACACACTGCACGCAAATCGGTGGTGCGCGGACCTTCGCGTGCAGTGTGTGATGTCATTTTCACTCCGCCATGTCCGCTTGCGAGAACTCCCCGAGATGTAAATTTTCATCCTTTGCCAATTGCTCGCCTGTTTAAACTTGTGCGCCAGGATGCGAAGTCCACTCGGTTGTTGCGCGCGAGCCGATTGGCTAAAGATGCAGTCTTTCATCTGGACGCGCACGGCTGCATGCGAACATCCGTTTTTCACAGCTTGGCTTTGCATGCAGTGTGTCACGGACTTCAAGGATCCAGTTGGTGAGCAGCAGACCAGAGGCAAACATATATTAGCGGAGGCTGGCTTGTCACGGCTGTGGCTTGGCGGTTTGAATCCTTGAAGGCATTTGTCTTTTTTTTGGGTAAATTGACAGGGGAACCCATCTTTGGTGTGGGTGTCCTTCTGTGGTGATAAAGTCAAACAGTTGTGACCGGGCAATAGGGACCAATGTGGGTCTGCCGTCAATGTAATGACGTCCCCGAGGCGGCTGGGGGCATTCAGGTACAAACATTTGTCCACAGATACAGGTCTGTTTTATAGCGAATAGTGGCTTCAACGACCTTGAAACACAAATGTTATTTATACTGGTTTTGTAATAAATGGCCGCTCTGGTGTAATGTTGAGGATTTGGTGACTTGATGGTAAAGGGGGCTGGAGTACTTAAAGGGGACCACTGAAGTACCTTAGTCATGAGCCCTGATATAGTTTCGCTGTATAGGTAAGTTAGCCGATAAAAGGTATTGCTTAATCTCCAACATTCTGGAGAGCTGCCTTTAAAATTGTCTGACAAGATCTATGTACCTGAATGTTTTCACGTGCACTTTTCATGGATGTTCACCTCCTGTCTTTGTATTCATCCATCATATGCCTAGCCTGAGTTGTTCAGGTTTGTGACGTCACCCAAGGGCGGGATATACAACACATGATTCTTTGTGCCTGGTTTAGAAGATCATCTTATTTGCTTATTAACAGTTCTCAGTTTCGGAAACCGAGGGCAAAATTGGTTATATTTAAACAGCTCTCCTGCTAGAAACTATAGAACTATTGTTCTGTACCAGCAGGTATTCATGTGGGTTGTTTTTGTTTCTGCTATAATTGCACTGTTTTCCCAGTTTTGTGTTTATATTTACTAGAATCTGTGAACGCTTGACAAATCGAAACACACAGCTGATGGCTCTATGTGCTCGGGACTGCCGTAGACCAGGCTAATGTGGAAGGTGTGTGTGTGTGTGTGTGTTCGCGCGAATCCACCGCAAGGCAAACAAAGCATTTGCTTTGGGCAGCACTTTGCAGGGGGGTAGGGAGCCTGGCCGCAAAAAAATCAGGCAGCCTCGGGTGCCTAATCGGGCAAATGTTTCACCTGAGAGAGCTGTTGGATGGAGGAGGAGGCAGGACCAGAGGGGGGGTGGAAGAGGGGCTGGGCCGGGGTCGAGCAAGATGCGGCCTGGCTAGCGTGGCTGCCGACGGCTCAGGGCTCCCCATACCTCGGCATCTGATGGTGGGATGACCCGCTGGCTGGGGAGATCTTCAGGTAAGGGGAGGAGCACATGTGTGCAGGGAAAGGGACCCTGCACAGCCCACCATAGGATTCTGCACAAGCCCACCTGTGGGTCTATGGTGGGCTCTGCGGGTCTATGGTGGGCTCTGCGGGGTCTCAGGCTGAGACCCTGCAGAGCCCACAAGAGATCATTTACAGCACCCCTGAGACCCCCGCTTCCCTGCTATGGTACTAATGCAAATTGTCAGAAGCTGGATACAGCGTGCATTACCCGAGTGCAGTTTTGCCTAGGGCAGCACAAAGCTTAAATACACACACACGTGTGTGTGTGTGTGTGTGTGTATACAGGTGAAACCCCTTTAGAACAGGCCATTGTGGAAGACCTGTGCATACAGGTTGACCTAGACCAAACATTTGTGGAAGACGTGTCTGCAGGAGGACCCCTAAGTGAAGGCTGTTTAGAAAGGTGCGTATGTGTGCAGGAGGACCTCCTTAGACCAGGCCGTTGAGGAAGATGTGTGCTGGGGAAACCCCTTAGACCAGGACGTTGTGGAAGACGTGTGTGGGGGGGAACCCCTTAGACCAGGATGTTGTGGAAGATGTTTGTGTGCAGGTGGCACCCATTAGACCAGGCCGCAGTGGAAAACGTGTGCTGGGGGAAGTACTTAGATCAGGCTATTGTGGAAGACATGTGGGTGCTGGGGGAATCCCTTAGACCAGACCATTGTGGAAGGTGTGTAGGTGTGCGTAGGTTTAGGTGGAATCCCTTAGACCAGGCCGTTGTGGAAGACGTGTGGGTGCTGGGGGAATTCCTTAGACCAGACCATTATGGAAGGTGTGTGTTTGTGTGTGTGCGCGTAGGTTTAGGTAGAATCTCTTAGACCTGGCCGTTGTGGAAGACGTGTCTTATTGGCAGAAGACTGCACAAATGGTGGCATATTTGTGGGCAGTGTGGCACTTGCACTGAAGAGTGTTTACTTCCTGTGTTTGCAGTAGGGTTGATCTTATCAGGTGCCAATAAAGAGAAATCTGTTGAGACAAATATGTCTTTTACCATTGCTGGATCCTACAATGCTATTTTCCTGGCTGTCATGATGACTCTATTGC